CCCCCCCCCCCCCCCCATACGCTGGCCCAACCCAAGGAAGACACTCACATAAGTTGGAGTGATGGGTTAATTGCTGCTCTTTCCTTGACCGTCCTGATTTTTCCCTCTGCTTCCACCTCCCTCCCGAGTCTCCACTACCTCCTTCGCCCGAATAGAGCGCATGGTCCTTTTCAAGGTTTTTGGGCGGGAAGTAACGTCCCTACCCTCCAGTAACACCTCCAGCCCCCTTTTCAAAGTTTTTGGGTGGAAGGTTAACGTTAGCAGAAAGCCAGGTATGTTGTTGTCAACGTCTGCTGAAGCGCGTGCTTGCCGAAACCCCTCCACCAACACCCTCACCATAAACCCTCCAACCCCTGACCCTCAACGCCTGAAATACCCCCCAACCCCCCAAATGAAACTTCTCTGTTCAAAGTTTTCTTTGTGAATTCGGGGAGATCTCGGCGAGCGCAGTCCAACCATCGTTTTCAAAAAAAAAAAAAAAAAAAAAATTAACCCACTTTTGGGTCCAACCGGCCCAGTTGGATCCAGCCCGGTCCAACAGGCCGGTTGCTGGCACAGCCATGTGGTATAGCCAAATGCCCTGAAAATTTACAGATGTGTATTCACATATTATAAAACTCATAAAAACAGTTTCCAAAAATAATAAAACATTTGAGGCCCCAAAATAAAATCAAAACAAAAAGTGAAAAAAAACAAACGGAGTGGCCGAGCACGTTTTGACACCGCCATCCCTTGGCGATTTTTCATTTTTGTTCGGCTTGGCAAAATGCCTTCCAAATTTACATGCATGTAGCGCATGTCATACAGAACTCACAAAAAGAAAAATCAACAACAACAACAATTTTTAGGCCCCGAAATAGTTTTTGGCGGGGCCCAAACCCCTTCAGGTTCAGACCCCGAACCGGACCCCGACGCCTGAACGTTCGGGGGTCAGCCGCGGGGCCCCCGAACGTTCGGCCCGGTAACCATTGAAACGGTTTCACCCAGTTTACCTGACTGACGCAGACTGTAGGACTCGATCCCTAGACCTATACCTTGACCCTGTACGTTGACCCTCTGACCCTACGTGAGATTTGAACCCGTGAGCTGTTCTTAATCCCGTAGGTTAGTTAGTAGTTACTATGTTAGTCGGTTGTAGGTCTTGATCCCTAGGTCCTCTTGTTCGCAGTCTAGGTTAGGACCTTCTGGAAGTCTCTATCTGTAGGACCTAGAAGGTTGTAGTCCCCTTCCTCCGTGTCTGAGTCAGCAGGGCAACAGTGCACCTCGTCCAGTCAGGAAGTACCAGGGAGTCCCACGCGGTTTGGGCAGAGTGTTCCATGCAGTTTTCCCACGCGGTTTGGGTCCCTGCGTCCCATGCGGCTTAGGTTCCCCAGGCCCACGCAGTTTGGGCCTCTGAGGACCACGTGTTTTGGCCCAGGGCTGGGACCGGCCAGACCACCTGCAGCCAACTATAAATAAAGGGGCAGCGTCCAGTCATTCATTCATTTGCCTGTGAGCCTTGCGGAAGCGCTGCTGGAGCGACTTGTGCTGGAGGTCTGCAGGTGCCTGTAGTCGAAATGGGCTGAGGAAAACGACAGCCATAGCTGGGCTGAGGAAGACGACGACGGCCATAGCTAGGAGGAGGAAAACGACGGTGGCCATAACCGCCAAGCTGCTGACGTCAATGTAGTGTACAGTGTGTGTGTGTTATATGCATTGCGTGGCTTCTGCGACCGCGTCACAGCCTGTTGCGTTGAAGAGTGCGCTTATAAACAACACCGGGAAAGAGCCCGCAGCCCAGGATGCCCATAGAAAAGAATGCTTATAAAGCCCAGCTTTCAAAAGTCATGAAACGAAAAAAACAAACCGACCAGCGGTAAGACAAGTGCAACAAGACGAACAAAACGGCAAGGCTGAGGTCAAAACACAACAGGGTACTTGGATGACAGACCGTAGCAAAGAACAAAGGGTGGAGGGCAAGGGNGCCAAGAAGCCGCGTGCGCAAGTGTGAATCTCACTAGATGTGTATAAGAGACAGGAGAGAGAGAGAGAGAGAGAGAGAGAGAGAGAGAGAGAGAGAGAGAGAAGGGGGCGATCTCCGTTGCCAGTACCAGTCATCCCCACTGATGGTTTGACGATCCGCAATCAAATAGATCGATAAATGGTCTAACTCGCTTCTGTAACTTGGGAGTGGTTAATAGAAAAGGCAAGGAAAAGACAACTAGCAAAGAAAAGCAACTCTGATATAAAGAGGGCACTGGTATTTCAAAAAAACATACGGTCGTGCAATCTCTGAGATGTCGAAGCGAGGGTTGAGTCCCTTGCCAATACCGTCCAGAACTGCAAGAACAAAAAGGCCAACCAAACACAAAGCGATATCAAGCAGCCAAGTTGAGAATGAGAAAAGGTGTATGTAGCCGACATATTCCCAAAGGAGATGAGACCGCTGTTTTGAAAAGTTGAAAAGAAAAAAAAAACAAAGAAAGTGCCCCGCCAAACATCAATCAGGCAGCCCTTTCAAGGAATTCAGAGGGATTATGACAAGAAAGTGCCCCGCGCAATTCCAGGTCTCGCTTGGGCCTGTCACGTGAGACCTGCTCCAGACTTAAGGATTAAGGAGATTGTAGACAACCAACACACAGGAAAAAACGAGTTTCAGAAAAGCTGAAAAAAAGAAAAGCCCACACTGACTTTGTTTCGGAGTTCACTGCAACACTTCCATTTTTCTTTCTTATTTCAACGTGGTTGGTCTATGGTTGACCCACCGGCAACAGGAGTCCTAATTCTCACTAAACCACCACTGCCTCTGAACCTAAAACCCTGAGCCTCTCTCCTTTTCCGGACCCGGAACTTCTGGATCATCGCAAGACTGGGCCTGCTTGGGGCTGCGGGTTTATAGGTCCCAACAGGCCAAAGCTGCTGTCGAGCCAACCTACAGCGCACGCTCCCCTTCCCCCCCCCCCCCCCATACGCTGGCCCAACCCAAGGAAGACACTCACATAACTGTCTCTTATACACATCTATGCCCAACTGGGGAGGCTGGCCACTCCTTATATT